GTGCGCATGTTTGTGTGTACATATATTTATATATATGTGTGTGTATCCATACATATGCACATATATATACATATACATTCACATATATACATATATATACTGTATATATATGTATATATATATGTGCGTGTACTTGTATACGTTATATGTATATAACATATACATGTGTGTATATTTGCAGTTATTTATATATATATATATATATATATATATATATACATATATATGTATATATATATATATATATATATATATATATATATATATATATATATATAAATATACACACACACACACACACACACACACACACACACATATATATATATATATATATACATAAATATGCATGTGTATAAATATATATATACATATATATATAGATATATATATGTATATATATATATATATATATATATATATATATATATATATATAAACACAAATGTACATATATGCAGATATATCATAGCTATATATTGAAAGGAAAGCTCAATGTATACAATATGTAAAGTCTGAAGAGAGATAACCAACTTCTATAGTTTTGTAATCACATACGGTCTACTGTGCATTGGTTCCATAAAAAAACTATAGCGTTAATATAAGCGCCTATAGTAATGACAAATCTTAGGCAGCACCCTTATTTCAGTTCCATGCTATTTTGCTAGAATTTGAACTTAAATATACATTGTACTTTTAACCAGAATGTTACAATCCAATGTCGATGTACTTGGTATCTCTCTCCATTTTTACCTATATAGATTATATGTCTATAAAAATATATATAAATGTGTGTGTGTATACACATACACATACATTGATAGTTACGTACGCCTATACACATGATAAAATATTCACTTAGTGATAATAATAGTAAGTGATACTATTGCTACTAATACTACTGACACATATATCCCGTAAAATAACAATTCAGTCAATAATAATGTCCGAAAAGCATTTAGATAAACACAAAGTTACCAGCCAGTGTCCAGTTCATATAACAAACGTGAGAAATGTATCAAGAGCAAGGTACCGGGTCACATACTTGAGAAACAATACAATATTTGAGTGCAGCAAGAAAACAACAACATAACGCTGAGCTTTTATTAAAATCGCCTTGGCATTTTCAAAATAAATAAGGGAAAGAATCGGGGCACTCATGCATACCCAGGAGTGCCTTCGGCCGGATACTGGGCCTCTCCTTCGTACATCACATCCGCCACGTATCCGGAGTCCACGCTTACGGTGTAGGAGACCTTCTGCAGGCGACCGTCGGGAAGCTGCACCTGGTACGACCCCTGCGTGTCGGGGCCGTCGCGGGCCTCCTGGTGACCGAAGTCGTTCTTGGTCGGGTCGTCTTGCACTTGGTAGTTAAAGTTGTACTTCGCAAGCTTCTGAATGAAGGAAATGAATTCAGTATGAAAGAAGAAATGTTCGGTATCGTTTATCATTACCATATTTTTTCCCCTTTTAAACCGTCAAATTAAACTAGGGAAAATATTTTGATGGATTTACCTTTGGTTCAGAAGGAGCGGAATAGCCAGTGTCCTGTTGAGCGTAAGCAACAGCCAACAGAATAGCTACAATTACTACCTGAAAAGAAAGGAAAAGTTAGAAACAAAATAACGCATGGCCCTTTAAAAACTCACTGATCTAGATACAAACACCATTTTGACGTATGCACTGTATATTGTATAATGTCAGTAGACCATCGGACCTTGACTGCCATGTTTGTACAGATGGACTGCAACTGTTATTACCTAAAAGACGATGCTATATATACACACGCATATTTCGGTGACTCCTCCCACTATGACGTCAACATATCGGAAAGCTTCTACGTGGTACATATGTGTAAGTGTACTATATGGATGCATATGCATAGCCTATTTTATGCATATCTTATAAAGCTAGTGTTAAAATTGTCATTCATTCGAAAATATTTTTATTGGTATAGTGACCACATTATTCAATAGATCATACAAAGTAAAATCAAAGTGATCATATTTAAAGCTCGCTACTGGGTATAGATGGGCAATCTTAAGCATCTTTTCAATTCCATGAATGATTATGATAAAATGATGCATAAAGATAATTACATATTCAAGTATGTGGTAACATCTGACGAAAATATATAGGAGCTAAGGTAGAATGAGTCCATGACTCAGCATTTTTCTGTCGTGAATTCTGTACAGTAGAAATTTAGTAAGCCGGTTATGTATGCACATACACACATATGCACACACACACACATATATATAAATATATATATGTGTGTGTGTGTATTTGTGTGTATACTAGGTAGCTTTTAGAATAATTGATAGTATACGGAGCTATACTAATGTAATAGACGTTTAAATAAAGATTACCATGGAAAACTACTTTCACGTTAATCATTCCAGCCTCCAAGACATGATATCTTGGAGAGGCTTAGCTCAAACGCCAAAAAAATGTATGAAAGACAGAGGAATTCATTCAAGCGTTCATCAAGAAATTTCTTGGTAGGAATTTCATTATGTCCTTCCTGAAATCATTCAAAATTAGGTTATGCACGACACTCGAATCCCAATCAGTGATTAGTAAGATTTTTTTGCAGTTCGGGATGACATCATAATTTCTCCATTGAAAGAACTCATGCTCTCTCTCCCAGCCAAAGCAGCTTTAAACCTTCCAGAAGGCCAATCGAAGTATATTTCTTAAACCCTATGTAAAAGGCTGGACTTTATGGATGTAAAAAGGCCTAAAGAAAATACGGGTTTCCATCTTAGAGCACCTTTTTTCACCAGTACTTGGCGAGAAATAATATTCTGATTCTAGAAGGGATATACATGTGTGTGTGTGCGTATATATAAATATTATTTATATATATAAACATACGCACACATATGTATGTATGTACATGAATATGTATATATATGAATATGTATATATATGCATATGTATATATGTATATATATGCGCTTATGTATATATATGTATGTGTGTGTGTATGTGTATATATAATATATATAATATGTATATATATTATATATATAATATATATATATGCGTGTGTGTATAAATGTATGTATGTACGTATGTATATATATGTGTCTATACATACAAATTAATAAACAAACACACACATACACATATAAGCGTATATATAAATTTATACACATATATAAATATATGTATGAATATAAATATACATATATAATATACGTGCCAGTGTGTGTGTACACTGATATGTATGTATCATATATGCATATATATGTATGTATATACATATGTGCGTGTGTACAAACATATATATATATACATATATATATATATATATATATTTATATATAAATATATATATATGTGTGTGTGTATTTATATTTATGTATATATACATATACATACATATATGTATTTAAATATATGTATGTATACATACATGCATACATTTATTTATATTCGTTTTTGTATATACACCTACTGAGAAAACATATATAAAAGTAACATATATATAATGTAAAGCAGTGCATTATGCACATTATGCACATTGTCTAGAATCAGTCCTTTTCCTTTTTAATGAATATTTTCTCAAATTTACAGCAATTTATACATTTATCATTACATACATATATGTATTTAAATATATGTATGTATATACATATGTGCGTGTGTACAAACATATATATATATATACATATATATATATACATATATATATATATACATATACATACATATATGTATTTAAATATATGTATGTATATACATATGTGCGTGTGTACAAACATATATATATATATATATACATATATATATATATACATATATATATATATATACATATATATATATACATATATATATATATATATACATATATATATATATACATATATATATATATACATATATATATATATAATATATATATATATACATATACATACATATATGTATTTAAATACATGTGAGTGTATATATACATACACGTAAGCACACACATATACATGTGGTTGTGTGTATGTCTATATATATGTATGTATATATACACACACACACATATATCTGTATACACACACACACATATGCTGTGAGTGTGCATATATACGTATATATATACGTATATATGCATATATTTACATATCTATATACATTTACATATATACACATATATTTGTATAAATGTGTCATGTCTATATATGTATATGTGTGTGTATATATATATGTATGTATAAATATATGTATGCGTTTATCTATATATATGTTTATGTGTGAATGTGTTTGTATGTGTATATATAATATATATATAAACATAATATTTATATGTATGTGTATATAAACACATACATATATTTATGTATGTGTATGTATGTATATTTATACACCCATAAATATACATACATATAACTTTATATATACATAAGCACTTATGTCAATGACCACTCATTGGAAGAATTATTGTTTTTGTTTTAATCTATTTAACAGAAAAGTTGATTTTATTATACATTGAACTTTCCTTCCAATGTTGGTGTATGGAAAGTCTATCTCTCTTTCACTCTCCCTCTCTCTATGTATACATATATATATATATACGTGTGTGTGCGTTTATACACGAACATACATATGAGAGTACTCGCTAATGATTATAATGACTGCAGTGATGCTATGAGTACCACTAAAACTGACAAATATTGATCTACAAACAACCTGCGTACAATTTCAATTCAATAATTGAAAAGCATTTTCAAATGCAAATATAAAATCACCTACAAACAGATCTTTAGGCTACTAATCTATTTTTCAGGCAGTGTCTAAGCCATGTAAAAATGTGAGAAATGGATCAGGAACAAGATACAAAAGCAAGACTTATATGCTCTATCGATGGCCTTAAAAAACGCACTTGAGAAACTATACAATATCTGAATACGGCAAGAAAACACCATAATGTACACTGAACTTTAATTATAATTGCCTTGACATACAGTTTTCAAAATAAATAAGGGAAGGTATCGGGGCACTCAGGCATACCCAGGGGTGCCTTCGGCCGGATACTGAGCCTCCCCTTCGTACATCACATCCGCCACGTATCCGGAGTCCACGCTCACGGTGTAGGAGACCTTCTGCAGGCGGCCGTCGGGAAGCTGCACCTGGTACGACCCCTGCGTGTCGGGGCCGTCGCGGGCCTCCTGGTGACCGAAGTCGTTCTTGGTCGGGTCGTCTTGCACTTGGTAGTTGAAGCTGTACTTCCCGGGCTTCTGAATGGGAGAGATGAACTCGGTATAGAAGAGACAATAGTAATTGATATTCATTATAATCAAGTATTCTAATAAGTCACAATGACAAAGCTAGGGGGAAATATTTGATGCTGTTTTACCTTTGGTTCAGAAGGAACGGAATAGCCAGTGTCATGTTGAGCGTAAGCAACAGCCAATAGAATAACTGCAATTAATACCTGAAGACAAAGAAAAGATATATAAATAATTAGAAACAATAACTTATCTCTTAAAAACTCAACGAACTAGAAATTTAAATATCAATTTGACATATGTATTGTATATTGTCAGTAGACCATCGGACCTTGACTGCCATGTTTGTACTGATGGTCTACAACTGTCATTCACTAAAAAAACGTGCTATATATACACACGCCTACTTAAGTGACTCCTCCCATCGTGACGTCAGTATACTTTGCATGTGCATGCCTGTGGTAAATATGTGTAAGTATACATATACATATGCATACCTTATCCTAAACGTGTGGAGCTAGTCTTGTCACTCGAAAATTATTATATCAGTAAAATTAGTCTATGGTTAAGATGATGCAGATAAAGCCAAAGTCATCATATGTAACAATCGCTCTAATGGATTTAGCTAAAATAGTGATTAAAATATTTGATCCTCATGACTAAGATAAAATGATGGTATTGTAGATATTCTAATCGTACAGCGTATACACGAAAACAAAATCAAAAGAAAATAAGGTAACAATGAATAAAGGATACATGGTATCCTGAATAAAACGACAGAAAACTGAGCAGTAACTGATAAGAGATGATCAAAAAATCATATCATGGTAGTTTATTATGGCAAAGAAGGGTTTTTACATGTCTGCTGTATGGGTGTGTTTAAGCTATATAATATTTGCTGAAATTTTCCTTCGTATACAGTATCCCTGATCACACAAACAGTGCTAGTTATCAAAATCCAACTTTAATAGTTTCCAATAAATGTATTTATAATCTATGCATTTATATATTATCTTATCATTACTATCATTGTCATTATTATTGTTATTATCATTATTATTATTATCGTTATCATTACATTATCTTTGCTATTATTATTAAAGTTATTAACATTATTATTATTGTTATTATTATATATATATTTTTCTGTATCGCACCCATCTAAGATCCTGCATCTTTTCTTTGGCGTATAACAACAACCTTCACTTGCACTCTATGCATGTCGAACCACATATTATAATATATTTGGAGGCTTCATTATGGTCCTAACTCATCTTGGTAAGTCAACCTTCGCCTAATTCATATATTATTTTTCCTTCGTATTTTAATAGTATTGCTATAATACTAATGCTTAAGTTATGTTCTTATTTGCGTTTATTTTGTATCTTAAACTTAGTTGGTTCCGAAGTAATATTGATAGTAAAAATTATGATATAATAGGACTAAGATAGTGGCGATAATATTGATAGTAATAAATGATGATAATGATGATAAAGGTAGTAATGTGTAGAATGATAATGATAACGCTTATGATAACAATATTTCTGTCACTGGGAGTTGTGATACTAATCTATTAATTTTTATTACATCTCTATTGCTACCATCAACCGCATTATCATTAGCATTATTATCATTATCACTATCATTATAATTATTATCATTATGAAAATAATAAAAAATATGATATTGGTGATAATAATTATAATAATGATAACTGTTATAGCTATGAGCATGATCATAATGGCAATAATTGTGTATATACGTGTAACTATATGTACATGTACATACATCATACATACATACATACATACATACATACATACATACATACATACATACATACATACATACATACATACATACATACATACATACATACATACATACATACATACATACATACATACATACATACATACATACATACATACATACATACATACATACATACATACATACATACATACATACATACATACATACATACATACATACATACATACATACATACATACATACATACATACATACATACATACATACATACATACATACATACATACATACATACATACATACATACATACATACATACATACATACATACATACATACATACATACATACATACATACATACATACATACATACATACATACATACATACATACATACATACATACATACATACATACATACATACATACATACATACATACATACATACATACATACATACATACATACATACATACATACATACATACATACATACATACATACATACATACATACATACATACATACATACATACATACATACATACATACATACATACATACATACATACATACATACATACATACATACATACATACATACATACATACATACATACATACATACATACATACATACATACATACATACATACATACATACATACATACATACATACATACATACATACATACATACATACATACATACATACATACATACATACATACATACATACATACATACATACATACATACATACATACATACATACATACATACATACATACATACATACATACATACATACATACATACATACATACATACATACATACATACATACATACATACATACATACATACATACATACATACATACATACATACATACATACATACATACATACATACATACATACATACATACATACATACATACATACATACATACATACATACATACATACATACATACATACATACATACATACATACATACATACATACATACATACATACATACATACATACATACATACATACATACATACATACATACATACATACATACATACATACATACATACATACATACATACATACATACATACATACATACATACATACATACATACATACATACATACATACATACATACATACATACATACATACATACATACATACATACATACATACATACATACATACATACATACATACATACATACATACATACATACATACATACATACATACATACATACATACATACATACATACATACATACATACATACATACATACATACATACATACATACATACATACATACATACATACATACATACATACATACATACATACATACATACATACATACATACATACATACATACATACATACATACATACATACATACATACATACATACATACATACATACATACATACATACATACATACATACATACATACATACATACATACATACATACATACATACATACATACATACATACATACATACATACATACATACATACATACATACATACATACATACATACATACATACATACATACATACATACATACATACATACATACATACATACATACATACATACATACATACATACATACATACATACATACATACATACATACATACATACATACATACATACATACATACATACATACATACATACATACATACATCATTTTAAGGAGGCGCTGTCGTCTGGGAAGTGCAGTTCGACCTGGACACCTAAAACATCGTCAACCCGCACGCCATCTAGTTTAGAGATGAACATTCAGGTATACTTTTGTCGAAGTCTTTCGATTTTTTAAAAGCTATTTATTTTTTTTTCGCTTTAGTTATCTTTTTTAGTCATGGAATGAAAATCATCCATTGGTATTTGAAAAGTATGTCAAAAAAAACTTGTGAAGCTGATTACTAACGTATTGGATCAGGTTTTCGTCGTAGCCGCCCTTGTGGCCGTTGCTCTCGCCCGCCCAGAGTCAGCTTACTCTGTCCCTGTCGACCCAGAGGTAAGTTCGGTTATAAAATCACAAACACACAGTTACAAATTGAATGTTTACCGCCTCATAGGACTGATGAAATATATCGTTATATAGAGATAATCAATATAATTTTCGTTCGTACTTTTCTTGCTTTAGAAGCCTGCGAAGTACAACTTCAACTACCAAGTGCAAGACGACCCGACCAAGAACGATTTCGGTCACCAGGAGGCCCGCGACGGCCCCGACACGCAGGGGTCGTACCAGGTGCAGCTTCCCGATGGCCGCCTGCAGAAGGTCTCCTACACCGTGAGCGTGGACTCCGGATACGTTGCGGATGTGATGTACGAGGGAGAGGCTCAATATCAGACCGAAGGCACCCCTGGGTATGCTTGACTGCCCTCAGTTTAATTCAGTGAGATGTGCGAAGGGTAGCTCCGCCTGGTCCTTCCACATACGAGGCCCGATCTGAGTGTCTTGGTTCTGTTCCTTATTTATTTTGAAAACTACTTGTGAAACCTACTATAATTAATTAAAACTATTTTAAGTAACTATACTTCTACATGATGTCCTCTCTCAAATCACATAAAGTTTCGAGAATCTGTACTGTTGTACACAAGAAACTTGTGGCGCAAAAGCAAACTACATTGACGCAAGAGGGTGCAACAGAATAGACAGCTCATTGTGAAACAAACAAAATAAATGCAATTAATGCAGGAATGAAATGGAATAAAATATAATAGAAAAAATAAAACCAGAAATTAGGCGACAATAGTTTGTAAAAATACTTGAAATAGCAATAATTTAGCGGTGGATCGACATTTTTACCTTACCTTGTTCTAAAAGCACTAGTAGAATGAGCTGTAAAAAACTGTACTGGTAGTGAAGTTTAGAGTGCAAAGGAACTTCGATTTATAGTTGATTTATAGACTATTTTTTTCTTTTATATAGATAATTCCATAATAGCTTACACACACACATACAGAAATATACCCCCAATCCCTTGCTCGTTATTGCCGTGTGTTTGTGTGTGTGTGTGTGTGGGGGGGGGGGGTTAGCAGGCGGAGACTGAGGCCCAATGTAGGGATCCCCCTACCTTGTAACTCCGCCCTCGCCTCAACTGATTTCGCATGGTCTTTTCTTCTCCCCTTTCCTTTTCCCTTTCTTCTTCATCTCCTTCTGTCCACTAATCTTAATCGTTAACTCATATTTACCTTTTTCGCCACAATACTTTACCATAATGCTGTGTAACCTTTGATACCTGGTACATTTGTCTGTTATGATCACTGGCCCTTCTGGAAATCCACAAACATTGCCTTACTGAACCAAAAAAACTTTACCTGGGACTTTGCCACCAAGCCCCACCCTATCGCTATGTTTTGTATACGCCGCTAATGACCTTAGATGTTGACGCGGTAGAAAATTTTAAATAAGTAAATAAATGAATAAATAAATAAATAAATATATATTCATGAACATGACAAAAACAGTTTCCGTATCTTTTAAGTGCGTAAAAGCTTTTTTAGCCGTTGTAAATTCCAGTAGCATTTAATAATTACCATAATTATAAGCACACTTTATAATTGTCTTTTAAAGAGCGATGCAAATATACTCTTAAACTTATATGCAAATTTATTGTCTTGCGAAATGATTCATTAATCAATATCTCTTTCAACATCTACTATCAATAATTTTATTTCCATGTATCAATGACCATATCTGCAAAACCACTATTTTTTAACGTTAAAAGTCCTTAGTAGACTATACTGACATGGAGTCAATTCACTTTGTACTAGTTTACGCGTGGACGTACACACACACACACACACACACACACACACACACACACACACACACACGCACATAATATATATAAATATATATATATAAATATATATAAAATACAGATAGATTGTAGTAGGTCCTTTCCTTAATTTTAAGGGCCTTTTGAAAAACAAAACAAAAAAAATGTATTTCTCTATTGAAGATGTTTGTTCAAGAGGATCTTATATTCGTTTTTCCATGTAGTAATATAGGTCTTGGGGTAAAACTCAAAGTAAATGATAAAAATAAAAGGTTTATTTTACAGAGCAAATACAAAGTATACATATAGACATAATTCACAGATACAACAACAAAACAAAGATATCCTTACGTGGTTTTAGGTTTTACTGAAGATATCTTGGATCGCCAAGAATAACGTCAAGTGAGCTCTAAAATCTTGTACGATATAAAAAGGCTGAAAGAACAAAGTAGAAATCAGAAATGTCAAAAATATATATTTCAAAGTTATTTCAAAATTAGGAAAAACAAAAAGAATTATTTCCTCTTGGAGGCGGCAACTTACGAGTATGGTAAATGCAATGAGAGTGAGGACTATCCCTTGTCCTCTAGGAGTGATGACACCTTCGACATACCCTCAGGGATCTTCACACACCAAAAGCTTCTGACTACGCATGCTCGTTTACAATTCAATGTAATACTGAACAGTTGTTACGATTAATAAATCCACCGACATAGATAGCTAGATGTAGATATAGACATAAATATAGATTTATATGAATACATACATATATGTATATATATGAATA